ATGCACCCATAAAACTCAATAGAAATGCACCCATAAACTCAATAGAATGCACCCATAAACTCAATAGAATGCACCCATAAACTCAATAGAATGCACCCATAAACTCAATAGAATGCACCCATAAACTCAATAGAATACACCCATAAACTCAATAGAATGCACTCATAAATGCAAAAGAATATACACATAAGAACAAAAAAATACACATATAAATACGAAAGAATGCACCTATAAAAACAATGCACCCATAAAAACAACACCCATGTACAAACAAAAATACACCAATAAAAGCAAAAGATTCTGTTCATCAAAACAAAATAACCTGCCTATCGAAACAAAAGATTGTGTCCATAAAAAAAAATAAGGACAAAAGTAAGAGTGTATTCAATAAAACTAAGTGATATTTTTCTTTCATCATGTTACAGACTTTCTAAGAAATCCTGGTTTGGAAGTCTTATAGGTGCTGATAAAGAGGAAACAGTTTGTATGGTAATTCGTGATAAATCACTTAATGTTATTAAAGCCGATGTCGTCCATGCATTTTTATCAGTAAGTACAATATCATGAAATGTTACTGTGGATATACTGTAAAGTAGCGACCAGGCAAACCTTCATAATCTATTGTGTTTTGTGTCGTATCTTCTTTCAGGTGGTATAAATGTAACTATGACAACATGTGTTTACTGCAACTAAGCTTGAATGTAGAAACCACAGAGCGATGTATTTTGTAACATTGTTTGCTTGCGATGGTGAAACAATAAGGAATCCACTGTTAATAGAAATGACGATTCTCAAATTTAATAATGTTTTTTTTTTATCGTTCATGAGGTTTTTTGAAATCCAATATGTACCCCGTAATCCCCTGATGCATTTTTGTTACTTCATCATCATCATTCAGTACTACTCTGGAAATGTCAGCATCCTAGTTTGATAAATGCAGCGAAAAAAATCACCAATGTTTAAGAGTTATTCTTCATACGTGTAGCGCAATCCATTAAGCTAACAATGTATGAAATATCACTAAATATACATTACCATAGCAACACAACGGTAAATGGACTTTACTTACCTATGATCTATTGAAGATTGGTGGTCGTCACAAATATATGCTTGACTTTTGTGAAATTTTGACTTCACAAATGCAATAAAATCATTGAATCACAAAAATTCCTCATAGTGAATATTAAGTTGTTTACAGTGTACATACAAAGATACTTACATGATTGCGCATGATTGGCTACCTAACTCTAAAACAGTCAGACCAATCAGAGAGCAGAGGTGTTTATATTATGCTTTGACTTGGTTGCAAATGTGTTGTATATTTGCACTCAATTTGAGTGCACAAGATTGTACCAACCACTGTGCTTTAATAGATATTCATGTGAAACTGAAAATGTCCCTGATACTTTGCATAAGTATTAGCATAAATTGATATAATTATATGATTTATATCTAGAATATTATTAGGTGGTGCAACTGATCACAATTTGTTTTTGATATCAACAGATTCCTGATCTTACTCACAATGTGCAATCTCCCAATGTCTTCAAAGCAGAATACAAACGACCTGGTGGAAGCATGTTTGCTAAATCGATACGATTTCAAATTGAAATTATGCAGCACGAAAGGGATACTAGTAAAGGAGACTGTGTCCATCTCGTAACTTTTACTCTCATATCAGGTGAGCTACTTAGATTTGTTAATAATGATGTACTGATGTACAACCCAATACACAGTACAATGGAATGTATTTTAAACTTGACAACCCAATGCACAGGACAGTGGAAATAAATTTAAGTAGGCGTGGATCTGTTTTCTTCTGCAGGTCAATCAAGACGATTTAAGCGCATTGTTGAAGTGATTCAGTCCCAGATGAATACAGCTAGAGGTGCTGAACTTTCACCTTTAGTAATAGCTGATGCGTTCAGTGACAGTACTAGTTCCGCCGGATCTGATCGTGTATCTCCCTCACCGCCACCCCACTCTGCCAACAGTGCAGGAGATGGGAATGACGTATTTGCTGATGAGAAGTGTAGTAGTCCGAAAGCAAACCTCCTCAGTGCTGGTGATAGTAACGGTACAAATGAGTTCAGTAGTTGTACTGAACTATGATACAATATTTAATTTAGAAATATAAAAATGAAATCATAATTAAGATATTGGAATATGTAAAATGATGAGAATGTGTAAAAAAAAAAAAAAAACAACGTCATTTTTAAAATTTCAGGCAATTTTAATATTATTATAATAGTAATCTTAAAAATAAGGAATTCGCTAAAGGTACTTTGCATATTCTAATATCTAAGTTTTTGACTGCTGGAATATTGTCATTTCATGTGACATATCAGGTACAATGGGTTTTTGCAATTCGTGTAATGGCTAATCTAGAATTAGTTTTTTTTTTTAGTGACTTTTGGGATAATATAACGATGTCAAGATTTATCAGACTACTTGATGTATTACTACTGTACATCCGTAATTTTCACTGATGGTTTGATCCGTTCACATTGATAGAATTGTATCAAAGTAAAGAAATTATGTATATGGAGGTGAGGGTGGAAAAGTCATACAATAGAGTACGTAGGTATAGTGCAATTCTCATTTTAATTTTCAAACATATATATCGATATATAGATTTACGTTAAATTCTTTAAATCACTATTGTATAGTTTAGAAGGAGCCCCTAAAGCATAAAATGTAACTTTCTAAGAAAAAAACAAACCTGAATTTCTATATTAATATGGTAATGTTGTGTGAACTGTGTATGTGTAAATTCTAATGTATATTTATGTTCCTCTACTCTATGGGTGAACTTTATCTACATGACTTACACTATGCATTATACACAGTTCATACAAACGCAATACAGCTATAGAATGGAAAACCAGTCTAATTTGGTTTTGTCAGTTTTTGTATTTAATTACCAGCTTGCCTGTAAGGCCTTCCTTCTTTCTATCCTCTTGTCCACTCAACAACGATAGTTAATACTAATTTCTTGTTATTTATTAAAAAAAATGTTAAAAGTATGCTTGTCATTATCAAAATATTCAAAACAAAGTTTGAATAAAAAAATATTTCGAAACATAAATTTCAATAGTAAACTGCCCATGTAATATTCAGTGTTTCTAGTATTTGTAGCAGAGTTAGCAAAAAAATATTCAAAAAGTTTCTGAGAAATATAAGCAAGTTTTGGCACAAACAAGTTCATCAGAATGGCAGGTTGCTCTTATGATTGGCTCAGAGTTGGAATTATTTGCTCTGTGTGCATTTTTCTATGTCATAAGCATAAGGATGGTAGCTTTAATCTTTTGAATGCCAACATAAATTTCTATCACATACCTTTCACAAAATAAAAAACATTTTTCATATGCTTTTGTTAATTACTCATCAAGACCTGTGAAAATGGTAAAATTTGACTGTTTTGCCCCCAAATAACAAGGAAATTACATAAACAATTGCAAAATGCTGCTCCACAGTTTTCATGGGAAAAATTGTGGAAATAAAAAAAATGAGATAAAGCATTATTTAACACCAAATCTTGATGTCGTCATATATCCAAGCAAAGATATTTTTAAAACACTAACTTTAATAGTATAAAAATGTTTTAATTATGTATTGAAGTTTTTAAGCTAATTTTAAATGATTTGTTTACTTCTGATTTACATTGTTCATATTTCTTTTGTTATGTAAATTATTTATATATATATTGTATATTATATATATATATATGAATAATATTGTTATGCTTTAATGCTTTTATTCTGTTTGTCTATAGTCTATTTTTTTCTCAAAGTCGTATATTTTTGTTGAAATCAGAGAAAGAAAAGTTTTTTTTTTTTACTTATAGATTTATGTGGTTGTATAGATGTTACTGCAGCGTAGTAGTAATTTAAACATCATGCATTTCATATGTTGGTTGTTCAGGTACCTGTATTGGATCTAGTTAAAAAAAATGACATGAACTTCATACCAGTCAGAACTAGTTTTAAACCAGTCGATTCTAGTTCTAGTTTTAATAGTAATTTGTGAATGCAACAAGCAGCAGGAGGTTATTAAAAATAAAGATGTGCCAAGAAAAAAAAATAAATAAATAAAATGCATTTGGTAAACAATTATGAGCGAATGTACATGCTAATTTAAACGAATGATGATTGACTGTCTTTTCTACTACACTACCAAGATGTTTTCGTTTCTTGGGAAAATGGTTTGTAAATTGTTCTTTAATTCAACAAAGATTCATGTATATTTCCTGGACAGTGGTTGGCTGATTTGTTCATCCTGTATCACATTATATATTATGCAAATTGATAGTTGTGATGTTCCGTTGCAACATACATAGTCATAGTGGTGATAAATTTGTAGTTGTAATGAAGATTGTACTGCGTCTTAACAGGATATATTGAATGTTAATGCTGATAGGTTTGGTAAGATGCTTTAAATTAAAATACATTTATTTAGTGTTGTGTTTAACCCTGTGAATGCCAAAATCGACTTTTGTCACCTTTTTTTTAATCTAAACCTGAATAACTGTGTTTGCAATTCTTCCAAATTGTTGTCCAAGATCAGTAGCCAATGGAAAATTATGTCAATTCGGTCCCAAATTACTGAACAAAAATCTGTATAAATTTGTAGATATTGTAGTAAAACTTTGGCGGAGAAAATTCTGATATTCAAAGGGTTAACCACACTCACACAAACGTTGTTGATGTATCATATGAGATGCTTACACATTTGCATAATTCAGGAAATGAACATTGTGATTCTATACCGCATTTACGACACCAATTGAAGCGTAATTTTACAAACATAATTAACATAATGCAATTAAGTATCCAGTGATTCACATAACAATCAATCTTTCATATTATTATTTGTACTTATTTATATGAATTACTATGTAAGTTCTTGAAAAAACTTGCAAGTAATTTATTAACTTTACATCTTCTATCACTAGATTATGCCAATGTAGTATGTTTATCAAGGCTAATCTAATTTTTGACAGATCCTTGACACAGGGTCATTGGAAATGTATTACCTAGGTTACATGTTTTATTACTTTGCAGTGAATGTGCTCGGTCATTTATAAAAAAACAAAAAAACATGTATACATCTGAGGCCAAACTGATTCTGAATTGATGATAGGACCATGGCAATTAACCACCATATCTATACTAAAATGCATAGTAGTGCCCTCTATAGTTGTGTCATATTATGCAAATTTTCGTACCCCTAGTAATGTATATATATATATCAGAGTGTTTATATATTTAGGAATTTAACAAATCCGGATGCAGACAAATTCTGTGAAGTTATATTTTCAGACTGATTGCCATATTTATTTGTTTAATGTACAGTTATTTGTATTACGTAGTTATTGTGCCTGGAATATTTATGTTAACATTCCATTGTAAGTTTTTGTTTGCTGATCCCAAGAAGGCTACATCACACACCTGATGATTGTCGTTGTGAGTTTATACTTACCGAAATCAACATTTAATAGAAACCCATTCTGAAATAAATGTCACACTGTTTCATGATGTTCGATTAACATCTTCCAGTTTAGGAGTGTTGTGTGTGAGATTGTAGGTTAGTAATACTTTTGTTGATGACACGGAACTCAAGGTAGTCTACATGACGAGACATGTGGGCATCAGCGTTGTATTACATGTACTTATTAAACATAATTAATAATGTACTTTAAAATGTTGAGGTAGCCACACCTGCAACCCATGTGGATATACTGAGCACTCCTTGTACATTGCGGCTCTTGTATATGTGTTTAGTAACAAAATACTAATTACAAATTGTGACATGTCGAAATATAAATCAGATAACAGAAACCACTTGAGAAACAATTTGTACGGACACATTGACAACTAAATCTGTCTGAAACGATGTTCAATAAAAATAATTTCATAAATGTATCCCCAACTAGGGATTTGAATGCCGAATATACACCCTGGATGAGTTTATTTTATGTGGGTTGTAGATGTACAGTGCAATATTTGGGTTTATATTGAAGCATAACCCCTCCTCCGTAATCTTTTAAAGGTGTAAATGCCAGTTTTTGGCAGCCTTGTTCATTTTTGACATTCGGCAATTACCCTGTTTAAATTTAATGATATATCTTATTTACTGTTAGTTACAACAACGTTGAGAACTCTGTGAACTTCTGATTAGTTTCTGCCTTCACAACAGCAGTAATTTCTTGTTTTTGTAACTTCTGAATGACAACTGTGAGCATTTGACGAGGGGGCGGGGGTAATTAAGATATTCTCATTGATAATAGATTTTTACCCTGAAGCAGGATGCGTGAATTTTTTTAGTTCATGCTTAATGCAGATTGTTGTTTGTATTCATATCACAATTTTAACTTATGTTTGTGGTCACTGTCATTGAGATGGATGGTGGTGTGTGTGTAGGGGGGAGGGGGTATACCAAGGTGGAAATGGAATGAAATGTGTAGAAAGTTTCTTTATTGTTTACTGACAGTCTTATGATATAAACAACATTAAAATGATTTGATTATATGAATATATCCACTCTGGTTCGTGTCACGTTTTATTTAAGACTATTTAAAGAAGGTAACTCAATCACATAAAAACTGATCTAGCTTGAGTTCTTCAGAAAATATACAGAATAAAAGACAGTAGATTATATTACCCGGACAGCTGTCCTGGTTTCAAGAGTTTTTACTAATGCCGTCTTCCCGAAGCCAGATCGTGCCTCTGATATCAAATTGTACCCGTACACGTGTTTTCAATAATTCTGCCGAGCACCGGAAAAACAATTGACTGTTTTTTGTTGATATGTTTACTACCAAATAGAGAATCTTTGAAGTAACTTTGTCTATCTTTCAAATATTAGGGGAAATGCAAGATGTAAAACAGACCTAGATGCTATGCTAAAGGTTGAATATTTTAGATGAAGCAGGCCAATTGCGACTGACGCGTTTTTAGGAAAAGTCGAGCGAATGCAACCTATTCCAGACGCTTCATAATTCGAGATATTACATTTGTTCAGTAACGAAATCAATTGAGTAATCAAATTTCACAATTAGTATTGTCAATGAGTTTGTGATTAATAAATTAGTTCAACTCATTTATGTCAACGGAATTGCGTGCAATCATTGACGTTTGATAAATCATTCAAGTACCAAACATAATCACCATTAACCTGAACTCACTGTATTGTGGTGGCCCGTAATTTGGAACAAAGACGAAAGGTAACACAAAACGGTCACAAGTCGCCATTTTAAAATTTAATCGAATTTTACAGAAAAAATTGCCATGCCGCCCGATGTGATGTCGTACTGTTTAATTAAAATCAGCAAAGCACGCGCCAAAGTAATTTCTGGGGAATATTTATTAAATTATATGCAAACCTAGGACAAGTCTCCAAGTGAATCTTTCACATAGTAACTTTATTCAAACTCATTATGATCTCGCATTTAATATACATGTTTATTGAAATCATAAAGTAAAATTTTCAAGCCATATTTGGTTGTGTAGTGCATTTTAAAACGAGATAAAATGGCCACCAGTCGGTCATGTTGTATCTATTCCCTTGTACACAAAAAGTGACAAAAGATAGCACACATTTGCAACTACCGTCGTACCGTTTGATTGAAATTTTCAAATTCAAACCGTCGCGGGCACATTCGCGTGTTAGGGTTTCACAATTATTATGACCAACGAAGCAATTAATTATTTCGTAATAGGAATGATGTGGACTGAGCGGAAAAAACATATATTGAATTGAATAAAAAATAATATGGACTTTCATATCGAATACGAGTGTGTTATTGTTAACTGAGATCATTCATTTTCTGTCATTTTACCCGTGGAAATTGCCTTTGTCGACCCTCTTCCAATCTCCATTTCTTTTAGATTGATTTCCAACAGAGAATATACATATCATACAAACTTTGCTCATCATATCACCCATCTCATAGAATCTATTGACGTGGATAGGAAACACGCGTAAACTACAAAGCAAATTATGATGCTTGCTGTACAGGCTAGGTTGTAATTTATTGTAATTCATAATTGGACTACTTATGCTACAATAATCATGAGATCGTGCCTACTTGGTGTGCTTTATTCTCATGGATTGAGTTCAGATGCAAGATGCACGCCAGTTCATAAATGCAAGGCTCGTTCATGAGTAAGACACACATTTTCCACACCAAAATGTCGTTACCCTTATGTTGGTTATAACAGGTAAATGCAGTATTTCTAATAAACTAAAATTCAGATAAATAAGTAAAGAGAAATGATCTATTTATTCCCACCAAACTAAACATGTGGAGCTCACTCATTTTGAAACGCCTTACATTACTTCTTGGCTGTATGTACGCCTTCAAATATATTCCTCTCCACGTATTTAATTGTAAGCGTATGTTTGTTTGTGATGTATTTGTCATTCGAAACGATAAGTGTGGTTGAACTTGATTTAACATATAAGTATCGTAAATGTGTCAGCATCCATCCATTGCTGACTGTTGATGTTAACTAATTATTAGAGTTATTCAGACTTTGTCAAGGCCGGTAATTGTCTCTTGAAATGTTGCCAGGACAACACAATTTCTAACATGGGAAAGATAACGCGGAAATGATGGACATTGCAGCAGTGGAACGCTATTGAAATTATTGAAAAACGTACATGGCGCGTGAAATCAAAATCTCGCGTATGATTGGATAAACAGGAATATTTAAAATAAAAAATTGTAATCATAACTGAACCAGAGGACACTCATATTATTAATACGTGATCATGGAATGCATTATTTATTTCAAAATTGATAAGTAAATTAAACTCCAAACCTTGTCTTAACAATAACTATATATGATGTAAACATATTATTTAGTGGAGACCAGTTACATGATTTCGTAAAGGGAAATTACAAGCATTAGATCACAGCACATTATATAAAACAAACAGACACATAGTATTGTTACAATATAGACCTAAAGTTTATACAGTATCTATGCAGTATTTTGATAGGATTATACACAGTGTACTGTGTAATAATGTGGATATCTAAGTATTGTTCACTCCTTGTCATACAATTGATAGCTTTTATTGGAACTAACAATTTCAAAAAGGTGGAAGCGAACTCTGAACAATAATTTACTATTCTTGATGTCTAGGATATTTTGTTTCTAGGTAATTGAAACCATGTATCACATGCTGATATGCCCGAGTGAGCTCCGAACGTGTTTGACATACGTACTCATTGTTTTGTTAATCGAATCTCAATCACAATATGTAAACCTGAGACAATTCGCTCTCAATAAAAATTTCAATAACAATGTGGCGATATGATATACACCGCACGGGAGTAATCAACCGGGCTTGCATATAATCAACCGTTGGGAGATATCTTCTGGATGCAATTTTGGAGGTTTGTATATTTGTATTACAATAGTAAATGCTTTCACACTAAATATAATAGTGCGTATGAAAACGCGGAAAATTTACTTTCAGATCTGCATAATTTAACTATATAAACTTCGTTAAAAACAACATACGGAGATTTTATGCTAAGCTTGTTTCGCTTACGGTATAAGAACAGATATATTCGCAACAACGATATACTATTTTGCATGTGAGGCCATGCAGAATGTTATAAAAACTCACTCATAAGTGTTACATGCCAGAGTCTGAGGATTGCTGTTTTTCTCGTACACGGTTTCAAGTCAGTTCCCACAATCACTGTGTAGTAAGTATACAAATCTTTTATTGTACAATGTCCGGGGTATTTCCTTTCTTGCCTGAGATTACTCATGAAATGAACGTATTACGCGCATAAATTCAGGACTGATTCTCTCAAACCATGCAGGAAGAGACATCTTATCCAGTCGAAACCTAGAAGGCACATTAAAGCGGTGTCTAACCTGACAAGTGACTGGCTGAGTACATGGCCAGAGAGAAAGATAGCCAGCCAAGATGCAGGTGTTCCAAAACACCCTCTTTTCTACATGTTTCAGTATGATATAGATCATAAATTGTTACTTTCTTTCCCGGATCCAAGCTTAATGGTACTTAGAACATGTAAACGTACCACATATGTTACTATCACATCCGCTGAGACTAATATTTTCGTATATTTTTTACAGCGTTTACCTACTCGTCAGAAAACTATACAGACAACATGATCATTTTGTTGCTTAGTGTCATCCTGCAGTTGTCTGTTACGCAAGGTGCACCAGAGGTACAGTAATTTAATAGTGTCACCATTAAATATGAGCATTATCTAGATATTATGGGATACGCCATGTGTCACATTTGAAACAGACAACATCCTAATGTTTATCCTAATGTTGTGTACTACGTGGTGATTTGCCACCTTATTCTTTTCCGTGTGAGAGTTTTATGCGTACTGTTTATTCAAACAAAAAATAAGCAAGTTTGTTTTTCAGTTGTATTATTATATGACAAATGGTTTGAACTAATAATTTACAATAATAACATTTACCTAGCTTTTATATATCTGTTTTTTTATTTCAGTCTCACGCCGATCACAATATAGCTGTGAGAGCTGGTAAGTTAAGTGATTTTTCAATTTTCTAAATCTTACGTTAATTAGAAAATGCATCATTGGATTGTCAGGTAATTGTCAGTGTCATGTCCACAAGGCCAAATACCACATGTCCTAACATAATTTCATATTGCCATTAAAATACCCGTAAATGGTAATACTGTTAGCATAATCACGAATTCTGCTGTAAAAAAGTGTGCTAAAAGAATGGTGCACTATTTTATAAGAAGAAAATTTATAAGAAGTATTTCTCTAGGATTGCTCAAAGATACACTGAAGGTTGTCGCAAAAGTATATAAACATTTAACGTTCCAGATTCACTGAAAACATAACATTCACATATCATATACATTGTTTGAATAATATATAATGAACGCATATTTATGCCTGTCTAGTCAATCAGGGACTGTATCCTTTGAGAAACAAATTAGTATGTTACTGAGGTTCTTAGTGATTCCAATTTATTTATTATTTGCACCAAATGTTAAATTGGTGATAGACCAACATCTAATATCAAATAAAAAAAATATGAAAGCTGCTAGGTCCAATAAATATAATATAGTTCTTGATAATTGTCAATGTAACCAGATATTTGGGCCTTTTTCAATATAATGTCTATTCGTGTCTCTTAGAAGCATGCGTACGTGCCAAGGAAACGCGTGTACGTGCCATGGACATGCCAGGCTTGATTTATTATGCGGAAACAGCATGATTGCAACTATGTATGAGATTGCGAAACCAGTAGTCATCTTATACTGCCATGTTAAAAGGTTGTTAATAATGTTGCACATCGCCGCAGACGCAACATAATTAGTTGTTGCAAATATAATTGCTCAAAAACTGTAAGCGAATCATTAGTAGCATAAATATGAATGTTAACTCAATCTACAGATAATTTGTATAAACTACCGTACTTGTGCAATAACAAATGTACCATTGTATTAAAAATGATTACCTAATTACTGATTAACTATCGGTATGATTTTTTTTATTATATTATTTAATTTAGTGACCGAAGCTCCATCGCCTTGCAGTCTCCTAGAATGTGTTGATGCGACAACATGTTTTGGAACTAGTTTTTGTATATGTCCTACGAACTATCATTGGTTGGTGGGTACTGAGCTGTGCATTGGTAAGTTACACAATAAAATACGTTAACTAAATGATTTTGAAGTGGACAAATAGACCAAGGTGCTGAATGATCAGCATAGCACTGCCTGTTGCTGTACAGTATTGTCTGTTGTTTCATTTCGATATAGGTCTCGTGCGACCAGTGATGGATTTAATAGTAAGATTGGAAGTTGTGAGACCACTTCGCGAATTTACAACATTGATGGGATATTCTGCTTATTGAAACTAACCATAAATCATCGAAATTCTAATTTTGGGAAGCTTATACGTCAGTTAGCGCATTAACTCTTCTTGGTAACCGCAGTCACAACACTCTTCATAATATACATACCTCTTATGCGCCGCTTTGTATTCGCTTTGGGACAGGATCTCTTCTGGAGCATAAATGACGGGTCTTATCTTCTCCGCTTTGTGTACCTGTGTTGGTATGAAGTTAAAATGACCTTCTATAGTCAGTGGAAGCTAACTCTGGTGGCGTACATGATCTTTCCGCAGGTGTTATTGCCACCTAAAACCAAGTTGGTTTTTCGTGCACAAAGATTAGAAATCTAGTGGTCCAATTACACTCCAGATAAGCTACGTAGCCAAGAGCTCTAATGAGTTTTGTGGGAATGACTTCATCCACGGAGGCATTGTCCCCCAAGCAGCTCACATTGTCTGCAATAGTATTTCTAGCGTAGCGTTGTGGGTTGCCTCTTACGAACACAATTCGTATGAGCCCCTGATGGATGGATTTATCCAACAGATTGATCCATCAATTTCACTCATAACACTAGTCACATACGCCCGGAATAAGGCCCACTTCATGGACATAGACGCTGGGGGAGTGAACCCAACAAGAAGACTTATTGCTGTTGCTCTGACGCCACGAGAAGTAAGGGATTAGCCGCACACCTGATATCATAGAAACACGCATACTCGAATAACAAGCGGAAAATGTCCCATGGTCTGGTGAGCAGTCTATTGCCCTGCGGAGAACGGCCATGCTATACCTGTAATTGCCATAAACTTGTTATATGTCATATCACCTGGCGCACCTTACATATGTGAGGGATGATGATGATTTATGTGTCCTGAAGAATGTCATACTCAGCGCAGCATTTTGATTTGACCAGAAAGACCTTGTTTCCCACTAGTCCTGTTATTGTTAGTAGCGAAGTCAGTATGCTTACTGGACAACTGCTGATGGGGAGCTCTCTGTGAATTCAGTGTCGTTGAATTACAGACTCCCCAGCAATTGACAACTAAGAAAGGATTTTCTTGCCGTCTGGCTGGCCATAATCTATTTCTATGACTACTGATGGCGATGATTCGATGATTAGTACAATGGGTGACAAGCGGGTCCATTGGAACCATCATATCCTTTTGTTGTAGATATATTCGAGCCTAGAGCTGTTGGTCATCTTCATATTCTGTTCTGTGGACCATTGATCAATCTACAGATAGTGTCATTGTTCAACTGACAATAGTAGCCAGAGAGCCAACCATTTCCCTAGAGGGCTCATGGGTTGAGGCATCAGTCCAGTACTAGATTCATTTCATGAGCCTTTTATGTACTGCTAAAATCAGTTGCACTCAAGCATTTGACCTGCAAGACAGTTTTTTCTTGTTAACCCTGGTTTTTGGTCTTTGGTTTGGCTCGATTTCTTGACTAAAAATCAAAACGCAGGATTTGACTTGTCTCCAATTTGTATTCCCCCTCTCACACAAGTTGCGGATACCAAGATGATTTGTCTAGTTAGAGCCCTGGTAATATTCATATGATATCTTAGACCAAAATATACATATTGGTCGTCTGTCATGTGTCGCTGAAACAACATACAGCCACATTCCCTACAACCATTAGCCATTGGGTAAAGTACACGATTACCAAAGCATACAAGTCTCCCCGACCCTCACATGTACCAGGTCAAGGGCCACCCGGTCACTTGCAAGCGAGTCTGTGGATGGTCCACACGAGAAATACATAGCATGGATAAATGCAAAACCAGCTTTGGCTGCCACCTTTTAGGCGAGCAGTATGGTTATCCCGATAATAAATTTAATTTCAGCATTTCTCAACCTCAGTTTACAGTTGTTGCAGTCCCCGGTAGAAGCATACTTTAGAACTCTGCCCATTGGATTTTCATTCAATAACTAGATATTGAATGACAGTATGATTGAACAAGTAAAATACACACATTCCGAGGGTAATTTTAAATTGCACTTAGTAATATCATACTAACTGCCTCCCATCACTTCAATCATTTGCAGATTCCATGGTTGCCAATTTAAGTTTAATATTGCCCACTTGGGGGAAGCTGGCACCAATAGCCTACTGTTGGCTCGAATTATCTTGGGCGATTTGCTCCCATTCTAACAGGTACTCGATCGGCATAAATAGTATTTTTCATGGCGGAAATCACTATTCATTCAGAGAATTTGGATTATGTAGTCCTAGTCGCGCCATAAATGTTACAAAAATTCACATCTTTCGTTATCAACAATAACACAGTTCTAATACTATTTATGATGATGTGTTTAAACTATCACCATCACTATTATCAAGTAGCTCCGCAACTTAAAACAGGGGGCGCTCTAGCACCAGCCTGCTGTTTCAAATACGTCTAAACGAGACGTAGGAATGAGATTCGCCATTTAAATTTAAATTTAAAATTTAACTTTCGGAATTCTTGTGAAGTTTATGTATTGGAAATATATTTTTAATACATACTTGTCGCGAGTTAATAATTAGATGACATTACCCACATGTGTCTGCGAACTGTGTATAGTTACTGTATTTTGACACGTTTAACGCGATTATTTTAACATATGTTTCTCGGCGTTTGATTAGTTAACGATTGGCCCTGGAGGAAGCTCGACCCGATTTGAAAATTATAGTACTAGTAATAAGTTTTGTTGTATATGTTGCGTTTTATGTTGCCTATTCTAAAGCAACATATAAAGACATTGTATATTCATGTACTAACATCCTCTCCCATAGATATCGACGAATGCGTGGAGGACCCAACTGCTTGTGTTAATGCTCACACATGTGTCAACACTGGTGGTTCCTTTGAATGTGGTTGCAACGAAGGATGGACACTTTCCCCAGAACAGATATGCGAAGGTAGCGTCTTTCTGTTGTGCTTGTTAGCTTGTTCAATATACAATATTTAATAACGCTTTTAACATGCATAAACTGATAGTCAATTATGCTTCCATGTTTCGACGATATGCATACTTATGCAAATGAATATAAATGTGAGTGCCCTAATGTACAAACACGTATTATTTGTTTAGATATGTATTTCTTGTCTTTTAATATACACTTATTTCAACTAAATAAATCCTGTTTCTTTTTAGACATTGACGAATGTGTTACTCCAGCAAACAATTGTCAACACACATGTAACAACACCATTGGTAGTTTTGAATGTCTGTGTGATACTGGATATGAATTACTACCTGACGGATTTTCATGTTCACGTAAGTTGCAACATACTGTCCCCTCCAGTGTTGGTTTTCCGTGGTGCATGCTGCGTCATGTTACATACGTCAGTGGTTTACCAAGTAATATATAGTAACATATCTTGTACACAAGATATTCGTGTATAATCGATTGACATGCACTGGCGTGAATTGTAAAAAAATGAAATTCGAGCATTATTAATATAATGTTCGATATTATGGAAGATAAATTAAACGATCTGCAAAAGTACGACTGGCTGTATTTGAATAATGATTTGTACACGATTCGTAGCACACCTATTCAATGTAAATATAAACGTATCAATGTCTTTCTTTTCAGAAAACGAAGTATCATGGGTGAAAGTCACGCTCTGTCAAATGTATTCAGTACGTACCGTAGCAGACGTGACTCTTGGTGACGCGGAACAGGGTTGCCTTGATGATGGATTTGCACTTCTAAGCATACAGAGCGCAAGAACCGGCGAATATCTCGACACCTTCCTTCAACAAACTGCTTCTGATCTGAGTTCCTATTGGACCACAGCGCAGTGTCCAGGCGATCCCAATGGCGGAGATGCCCCGAACACCAAAAAAGACGGATACATATGTAAAGTGTAGCATTCTTTCTTGTCAGTGATGATGTTTTGTTCAAGAATAGTATGATTAAATAAAATAATTTAACACATCGGGTCATAATATAAAGTAAGAAGTGATAAAAGTGCACATCTTATCTAAACATGCAAATGAGCGCCGAGATCTCACTGAGAGCGAGATATTTGTTTTCTGCTGCTTAGATATAATTCCATTCTCTGCTCAGGCTGTTGAACGCATTCGTTGTTGCATTGATCTATGTAACCATGGTGCGTGAGACAGTGAACGCTAAATAACATTGTGCATTCCTTTCAATGAATAAATAATAAGCCCCATTCAAAACAACTTGAATTGTCTGTATTTTCTGTTTTAAAGTTATAAAATATATAACGTCCAGGTTCTGACAAATAACGGTAGAAGCGCCCAACTTTGATGTGACTGGTTATATTATGGGGGAAATGGCACTAATTTATAATAAATGTCTGCGTTACTAGCACTCATATCGATTGGACATCGGTTGTGTTCGCGTGAGTCGAGTCTAAAACGTCGTTCACCATTTACTTTTTCATCACGGCGTAATGACGTAATCTGTGCTTTTTCACATACCACTAACAACCAGACCAATGTACTGTATGGTACAATAATTCTTGTTATACAAAATATTGAATTCACTACTTTGCGAGATTATCAGCGAACTTAATTATACACATTGCTACATGAATATAATGTACGGTATCATCTTTGGAAGTGATTGGGATTTGTATTAAGAATGTGATCGACTTGTCAACAAAAACGAAACTCACACATTAAAATATATAAATATAACTAAAACATAGATTTGCGGAGTCAACCGTGCTGATCTAAAAACTCGCCGTTAATGACACGCGTATTTGATGTCGACGATCGTGTGCAATGTGCGCTTGTATATATTGGGATCCCCCTTGCTCAATTAAACTGAATAGATTCACTCATGAACTGCAGCTAGAATTTGTATGTGGTTCCACCTCTGTTGCTCGTGCTCATTAGAAATATGTCATATCACTGTTTTTGTAGCCGATAAACCGTGTGCTTAGCTCTCGTGTGTGTGTGTTACGATACCGACTCAAATGTAGAAATTTATACCCGTGTTATCATCGTATATAGTGTAACCTTATGCAATATGAACGAGACAAATTCGTGTTTATTACAAACTAACATCAGTTTATGCAATAACATTTACAGAAAACATTAGCAGTTTCTATCGAAAATGAAATTGTCTATTAGTATGGCTTTGTGGACAATGTAGATGTAGACAAATCTGCAACTCACTTCTTCGGCAGCCTCTGGTTAACTTCGGTGGTAATATACTTATGACTGAAACGTAATTGCTCGTTATTGGCTTTGACCTCTGAACTATTCTGTCATTTAACAATGTCTTCCTTACTGACCGCTACTGAACAAGACGTTGGTTCTGCCTTTCAGTCCGACAACTAACTACTTCACGATTACTTGTACTGACTGTTACGACTTTCTTACAGCGGTAGATTACTGTGTAACAGGACTAATTCAACTGTTGTTGGCCGACTAACTGACTGACTGACTGAGACCGAAGTTTCGGGAAAAAACACGACATCATCTTCCCATGTTCAGACGGACGTCGTGTAATGTTTCAGTATGTTCTTTGTGTATCTTTACAACAGTTTGGCCAAATGCAAAGAAACTTTATACATAATTATTTGTTTGTTGCAGACGATGCGACCGCGTACTGTCTGAGTGCATACTTTTCTGTATCCTTCACATAACCTTATTATTATACATCTTTTCCTCCCACGAATGCATCACGGGAATACCGAAATACAAAAAGTTTAGAACAGATTGACTTTTTGTATGGCGTCCGGCTGCCATGTTTTGTTTTTATTATTAGAGGACGCCTATGCGCGTAATCGTCCATATTTGGAATTTATGGCGTTACGGTCACAGATGTATAATAATATTAATTAACTTGTTTTCGGCTTCATTTTGTTTTCTAAGCACTTTCATCATCTCAATATGCGCTCGCTACGTATGTTTTTCCTTACACTCTTTGCATACACTTAATGCAATTTCTCGGTTACGATGCGTACAACTCAATTTACACATCTTTTTTTAAAGCTTGTTTTTAATCGAAAAGAATCTAGTGTCACTGAAAGCAACTACTCAAAATATAATTTTCTTACATACTTGGTTCTCTTGTTTAGAGTTTGTAATTATGGTTATTGTTCGACGTTTTCTCATTCCCCGATTCACGTATTCATTGACATATTTTTTCATGCATTTTGTAAAGGAGTGGCAACACCTGACATATGTCATGATATTATTTTGAACAAAAGTTATAACACTCGCAATCAACGTCACAATGTATCATAGATTACAGAGACACAGGGATGTTGCAAACCATATACATTCAGCGACGAATTACCCAATAGAATTTTGATTTAATGGTGAAAGTAAATGACAGTCGTAAAGGACATGTTCAGCATGAATGGTGTGTGAAAATTGACTTCCCTATGCTCAAATTACCTCTACACAAAGACCCTAAAAGAACCATATGGCCTGGGAAAGGTTGACTGTGTTTAATACAATTACTTTCAGCTTGTTTCAGTAAGTAATTGATACAAGTACTTATATAAGTAGTAGCTTATATTAAGTGCAAGGGTCTTCTGAGCTCAATGTCGTCAATTCATTAATACCCTGCTGTATTGCGTCTGTTTATTCGTGCGAGGTTTTGATACATTCTTTTAGTTTTAGTGATATATGTGATCTTTATTCATCGCACTTTGCGTTGCCCCCTAATTCTACCAAGATTATATATTTCACGACCATTCTAAGTACGGATTGCTCATACATTGATACATTGGTATTAGCTTTACCGAACCATGCGAATACCCACCATGGAAGTCCGGGTATCAGTGTTGTGCCTCGGTCTCATTCTACATCTAAATCCACTGCAATGTACATCAAAGGTAATGTAAACTTCCTGATCATGTCGAGGCAATCACGAAGGTTACTATGCCAACAATAAGAACACCTATGCCCACCCTGTGCGATATTACAAAACAAAGTGATATTTGTTAGGGATTTAGTTAGATTCACATATTTGTTATGTTTTCTTCAGTTTCACGCAGACCAACACGTGGCTGTCAAACAGGAGCAGATGGGAGGTAAGTATCTAGAGTAATTTACATTTATATATTAAATATGATATATTTTATTACCATAAACATTGATAAATAAGCATTTCTGTAATAGCCTGTGCCTTATTTATGTTATGTTATAACAGTTTACAAATGCCTAAGTGAACATAAAATCAAACAAATTTGCAGAATGGAGGAAAATAGTAAAATAATGACCAGTCTATGTACTTGAAAACGTGAATAGAAAGCCTCATCCCTTGCCATAACACATAAAGTGTCATTAAGCGATTTGTGTATATAGTTTCTGTGTTCAGACGGGTCTGTTCTGCTCGAACCAGCCTTGTTTGAAGAGTAATTTTATTTCGTGAACAATGCCTACTTTATAGCGTAACGACGAATATTTATTTCCTCCGTTTTGTAAACTATAGTGCAATGACCTTGGCTGAATCATAAATCTATTCTATTCAAATGGTCGTATACATAAATAATAAAGAATGGTTTTATCAACAGAAAGTACGAATAGTAATATTACAGTAACTACGTTTGTACGGAATAAAAGAATACAATGTTCACATTCGAGTCACGCGTAAACACAGGACAACAGTAGAAAATTGATTCTCGTCTCGAGACGAGTATTGGTTCCGAAAAACAAACAAACAGACGCTGTTGACAGAGGTAGGAATTTTCAAATAGATGACGCGTTATTTGGGCAGATTTTCGGCTCTAGCCAGGCTGCCCGTTTGAACACAGTAACTTCTTCCTTACAATGGCATTTAGTAACATTGTCATTTATGTTAGACGAAAATTTCGGTTGTGATATAACATAACAATTGCTGATGCGATCAATTCAAATTAAAATACTAGGAAACACCAAAACGTTCTGAATCAGGAGTCATTTTGGAATATGCAATGACATAGGCTGGGGATTTTTTTCTATAGCTAAGACTGGTTTGAAATGTTTATATTATGTTTGCTGTTATTTAGGTATTTTTTGTATACTGAAAGCATCAAATTGTAACGTCATTACACTTGTCTTTGTTTTCGTTAGCAACTGAAGCTCCATCACAGTGCAGTCTTCTAGAGTGTGTTGATGCGACATTATGTTTTGGAACTGATTTTTGTATATGTCCTACGAACTATCAGTGGTTGGTGGGTACGGAGCTGTGCATTGGTAAGTTACACATTATTTGTATAGTAATAATTTTTTTTGGGGGGAGGCCAAGGGTTATTTTCGTTCAACGTAATTGCAATATTTTTTTGTTCGTACAACGTAAAATGAATTCTGTAATCACAGGCTAGACGTACAACCTAATCAATCAAATATTTTTTTCGTACAGCGTAAAAATGTGTAATTTTTCTCGGTACGTACAAGAATTTACATCCAAATAAAAAAAGTCGTAAAGAATAATCCTGGGAAATTAAATTTTCGAAACTGTAAAACGACTAGATGACACAATTCACGGCAAAATGCAATTATCACTGTAAACTGTAAAAACGTCTTTTTTTCCTTGTAAATTGTAAAAAGCCCTTTTTATTTCCCGTAAAACAGTACCAACTACCCCCTTGTCCCTCCCCTCATTTTGAAGTGGACAAATAGATTTGTGTATATATGGTCATATGAATGTAATAAGTGGGAACAGAAATATACATTGCCACTTCAGTTATTTTTTGTCTCTGACAAATAGCACAAATAAGAAATAATATGATTATCGTTAAAAAATCATCTTGCTTGCTTGCTTTGTATGCGCTATTAATTCTAAGCAGTGACGTAATTCGTGTAAGATTGTGTGCGCGCGCACCATGTTCCATTCATCCACCAAGTCACGTAATATGCAAATTTAAATTAACAAATAGCAACACACACCTCGCAAGGGA